ATGTAAAGTATACATCTTTTGGTGGCAGCAGAATGTTTTATGTCTAGCCTTGAAAACTGACCTGTTACTAAGTGGATAGCGTTTTCAATATAAAACACGAGTTGTTTTTAGGGCAGTAGCGGATTCAGGGAGATAGTCTTGGATGCTTGTATTTTTTACAAACCATCATTCTATTCATACACGAAGTAAAATTCGTTATTTGTAAAAAAAACGAATGCAAACAGATAGCGAAACCCGCCCTGGGTGGTATTTGAATCGTTGCCTTTAAAATCTTTACTATCCAAGTGTTTTGTCTTTAACTACTACTGATCATTGCGGAGGGTACGATCAGCAAAAACACTGTTTTAATCAATTTAAAAAATGGCGACAATTGCCAATATCGTTAGGGGTTCAGCGGATCTATCTCTATCCAGTGCTAACTAAAGACTACGATAAAACTGATAAGCAAGGTGACAAAAAGCATCCTAAATGAAATTCGGATTGGTGACAGTTAGTACATCTCGTAATGACTTTTTGGAAAATATACGTATACAGTTTAGACAATACAGAGTCAAGCATTGATTTGCAATACGAGCGCTTTCATAATAGGCAAGTGGTTAACGTCAAAAGATAGACAGACAGAGAGAGACGATGTTAGGCAAAGTCTTAACGAAATAATGTTTTTGTTGTTTTTTTTTTTTATCAAGAGAGCTGTCATAACTTAGCTTTGTAAATGACTGCATTGTAATGCGATATATTTAAACCTTTCGATGACATAAATTATCCATATTCGACCCATACACTTCTTCCAAATGATCTGCTGCACATCGGTGTGCCAAGATAAAAAAAGTACAACGAATTATGGATATGCAAGCTTTTCTTGATCAGTTGACCAGTAAATTTCGCTGATTTTCCATAGCTGCGTTCGCGATTCATGCAACTGTTTGAACTCTACTTGAGGACTTTCAAATGTAACGGATTCCTTGCCATTTAACAAAACAGATGCACAATGATTTGAATGTGTTATTTCCCTTTTCCTTCATAAGCATCAAATATTAAACAAAAATCAACGATAAGGATAACGATTTTTCCGTTCCAACAGCCTTTCAAACGTCGTTATTTTACTTTTTACAGTACAACAAGATTTCATCATGTTTTGCAACATTTCACCACGATAAGTTTGCTTTACGTGATTTTGCCTTTTACTCGCTTGCCAGATGGTAGTTTCCCACCGGTGGCATCACTTGCTGCTCATGTGTATGCGAAGCGACGATTGGTAAAGGCAATGCTCTTGTCATCCGCTTAGATATCGTGAGCCTGAAGAATCTAATGTAGGAAAACGTCAGTTGCGTTACATATACACGATTGACAACTCGAACCTCCAGCCTTTAGCCCGATATTCGACTCGACCGTTTCTTACCTAGTGATTTCAATTGATAAGAAACGTCCATGGGATCCTTGGCGTTACTAGACAAGCCCCCTGCATAGAAGTACCATGCATAGAATTCGAAAAAAAAACGTTGCACCTTCGTTAAGACTGATGTGAGAATCTGATAACGTCTGCGCGAGCGAAATATCGCAATCCGCTGAAGGGTAGCTTCGAGCGTTACCTATTGTTCGGAAGGAGCACAGTATTAAGAGCGTCATGTCTCTTCTCTGCATCGGTATGTTTGAATAATCGAAGTGTTGAGACCGCTTCACGGACAAGGTAGGACAGAATACATTCAGGTGCGGCCCTACTTACCACTCAAAGCAGGTAAAGAGCATTTGGCCCAATCTCATTTAGGTATTTTACCTCTAAAATGTAGAGAATATTTTACAAGTTTCTCATATGACGTAAGTTATCGAAAGTAGGTTTAAAATCCGAGTGCGTTTTATTTGTCAAAAAAAAAAAAACGTGCGGACCAGGATTTTGTTAAAAGCCAATCGATTCAATTCGCCGGGAAAGTGGTCGAACCTCCTTGAGGTTGTTTATAGACCGGTATAAACGAAGATTGTCGAACCGTTGTAAGTTATAGTTAAATTGCTAACTTCAGTAGAATGGTTTTGCTTTGTATAAAGCATCTTCCATTCAACGCAGCCTGGGGTCAAACTGATTCACTTCTAGCGGGTTTTGATCTTTATTATTATTATTATCTCGAGGTAACCTTTCACTTTACCTTGCGTCTACCCTATGTACAAGCAATGAATAACTGAGTGCATTGCACACTATCATACATATTGTTATGCCATTTCAGTACAAGCGAAACCCTGAAGATCTGTGTGTGCGTGTGAGCGTATATCTGTGTGTTGGCAAAGAAAATTACGGAGAGAATGATTATTAAAACAAGTATCAAACCATTTTTAGAACAAATAAGTAGTTCGGAGTTAATGAGGGGCTTCACAAATACCCAACTATACAATGTACTAAGTACTACACTAGATGTCATCTTACGTTACGTTGTCGGTTCTAAAAATGGTCGATCCCGTCTTCTTATATGAGTTAAATTTTTGTTTCATGTTGTGCCACACGTATTGTCATTTCTTTAGAAAAATATCTTTGTTAGATGTTAGCTAAGTATGTCTAATAGACGATTAACCTCAACAGAGATATATACGAGCTTACTGAGGTGCTCATTGTAAAATGGGCCCACATGTATATAATGTACGGGTAACACTAGAGAAGGACAATCGAGAAGCAGCAAAGATAGAAGCATGCATGAAGCACAGAAGAAGTAACATCAATGTTTTGTATTATTGTAAAGGAACAACCATCTAGTCCCGTAAGAATTTTAAAATTAAAATCGAATTTCTGTTAGTACTTTTCGATTCATCTATCATTTACTCGCTATTCGTACGCATGAAGTACATGTGCTCGTTTATTTTTGATCGCTTCGTATCAATTGGCTCCTTTACCGATACACCTTCGATATAAAACAGCGTTTTGAGTCAGAATATTCTGAATTCGGACCTTTTACGTGAACGATTGTGTACGCTACAGATATAAAAACAGGTTAATACAGTTAGAGGATACTGAATGAGACTGGCGAGGCCCAGCTGAGTTTGTAGTATACAGCCCGTTCCCCTACAACTCAATAATTACTCACAGAATACATGCCTACGCCACGCTGATTCAACCTCGACTTTTCTTTGGGCCAAGTGGTTGACCGGACAACTTTATATTTAACTGGCAAAAATATGAACAAATACTACACACTCACTAGTTGTTGGTCTAGTTGTAAAGAGCTCGCCATAAATAAATCAAATAGATGCAGCATTGTCGTCGTCGTCGTTCAATCAATCTGACTGACAGATTGATTGGCTGGCCCGCCGGGTACCCTAATTGTCAGTGTAAGTAAAGTATATAGCATCATTATGATTATTGTCGCGGTCAGGAGACATATTCTGCAGTTCTGATGACTGCCGCCATGTCGTTGGCATCAGAAGCCGCTGTCTTATTTAGCAGCAGCTAGATGCGCTAGTAGTCTGTTATAAGCTGCTAATAATGACGGGCTGGATATCAGTGTGTGTATGTGTAGGTCGACTGTTAGCACGCTATTTGCTCCTTGTCTTCATCTTATCCCGTCAAAATGACTGTAGCTACCATCGTCGCAGCTTGTGCCGCGCAGGCGGACGCACGCCTTTGACGTTTTGTGCGGAACAGTAGAAGAGGTGTAGTGATCCGCGGCTGTAGCTACAATTACCATCGGAAACGACGGCAACGGCAGCGCCATTAGCCAGAACCGGCGCAATAGGGAAGAGATTGTCTCCGAACTCTTGTCCTGCGTACGAAGGAACAGGTGAAGGAAGGAAGAAGCTCGCGAGTCGCTGATGTTGATGGTGGTGATCGGTTCCCCTCGCCACCCTGAGCCCTCCTTTCTCCCCGTCCGCTCTCTCTTCTCGGCGCGCGAATGAGATCTCCCGCTAGCGATAGCCACGTTCAGGTGTTAGCGTTCAGATAGGCACTTTCGTAGTTGTGTATAGTACTCATGCTGCTGGCGAGAAGAACGCAAGCAGTGGGCTGGATAGTGGCTAACTGAATGACGACCATTGGCTGGTCCTACTGGCTTTGATTATCAGTACTGTGAGAGGGGGCCTTTGATATCAGCATGGTTAGTCGGTGAGCGCGCTAATTCACTAATATCTACCCTGTAATTGCGGCTGTATTTCATACCCACTGTTATTACTGGAACGCTATCTATCCAAGCAACCTGTCTATCAGGGTCTGCTGTTAGTGTGTGCGAGTGCGTGGATGTGTGTGTCTGTTCGCCGTACGAGGCCGTGTAGTACTCTCCGTGTGTCGCTGTTGTCCGCGCTGCCTTTTTCCACATAATGTACATCCTTATGTACGCATACGGGCTTACATAGATCGTGTCCTATGCGTTTGCCACTGCCTTGTTGGTATTGCTGCCAGTAGAGTGGCCTGTCATCAACAATAAATCATCGGCGTGATAGTTGTGGTCATCATCGTCGTCGTGTTGGTGGCGTTTGCAGGAGAAAACAACGACGGCGGCGGCGGCGGCGGCGGAAGTCGGAGCACCATCAGTGCTTGCCACCAGCGATTGTCGTACCATCAGCAACGGCAGCTTGGTATCTGGTGCGCAGAAAAAGTCGATCAGTCAGTCGGTTCATTTATTTAGGTTTCTCATTCCGACAGTTGCTCGGTTGTTTGTTGTTATTATTATTCTTTTGGTTGTGCGGTAGTCCTGATAATAAAAATGATAAGTGAGTGCTGCTAATATTATCGTAATTTTCGTCGTTGGCCATCGCGGTGGCGTTGTCGTTGCTGATACACGGTGATATACGGATACGCTGGTAGGTGCGCTGTTGTTGTTGTTGTTGTTGTCGTTGTTGTTTCTCATTATCCCTATTGTCGTCGTCGTCATACTTTTATGGCCGTTATCGTTGTGAATTTTGCCGACATTGTGCACCAGTCGTCATCGCCGTTCAGCCAGCATCTTCACTTGTGTTCAGCTCCTCTAAGCTCGACACCTTTTTCTCGAAAGGAACACGAATATATACTATAGTGGTGAATTCTACACCTGTAACAGTTCACACCATACTACAACGGAATCACTAGCAGGGGATCAACTGAAATCTGGGCGACGGACGACGAATGTGCCTACCGGCAAGCCCCGCTTCGTCAGGAGGAGATGACCTGTCGATCACCAACACGATGAGCATCACCCCCATCAAAAACAGTAGTGCCTCGAACAGCAGCAGCCCAAACCTAAAGTGAGACAAGGCCGACAAAGCACCGATAGCTTTACTCGTCGTTCGTCTTGGTTACCACCGATCTATGCTCGATCGATGCTCGACAGTCGCTACCAACTACATAATAATATACCTTGCGATCTTATCACGTACCGGCCTATTCACGAAGTTGGTAAGCGGAGTTTTAACCCATTACTATACCAATTGTCGCTACAACAGAGGACTAGGCACGAGCAAAAAGAAAGACAGGGAATTGTTCTGCCCGAGTCAGTTCCTATCTTGGCCCTAATTGCTTCAACTAACTTGCTGTTGCAGCTGCTATGGGTGTAGATTGTGGAGCTAGTGGTGTCCGTGAGTGACGATTTCGACAGGGTAATCTATGTCCAAGGAGTAGAGTATAGTGTAGTGTACTACGCGTATCTCTCTGCGTTCATGGGCATAATTCACTGGCTACTATAGCACAGTCCTACAGCTGGTTACAGCTGCGACTACCGCTATTGCTGCTAATCTCTATCAGCTCTCCCGTACCACATCGCTAGCGCCAACAACAAATTTGCGCACCGCTCACTTTAAGCTCCGCTTTGGGTCCGGCTACCGGCAGATTTTGATATTACATTTTAGATACGGTTTGACGGTTTTACCTATAAGTACGTCAGTCAACAGCGGCGGCGGCGGCGGCGGCGGCGGCGGCAACAGCAGCAGAAGACGACGACGACGAAAAACGAGGAGAGAAAGAAGTCTCAAGTGTACTGACTCGTGCGTATCGGCATACTCATATACCTACTTTTGTCAAGGCTCTGTTTGGACAGTGGATCTTTGTCACTCTACACCTCAGCCGCTACTGTCGCGCCCTTCGGATCTATCGATGACGAACGAAAAGTGACGGAGAAGTGCGGCGCGCATTGTTGTTTTCGTTGTAGTCGTCCACTTCTTCACTGTCACTTCAATGTATAAATATCATCATTTTCCCGACTTATACTTTGCTTGGATACTACTCAAAGTTGTGCAGTGTTGATTATTACGGTTGCTATTGTTAATTAATATAATTGTTGTTGTCGTCGAAGATACGACTGCGTGAACGATTTTAGCTTGCTTTGAGTCTTCGTCGTCTGCTCGGAGAAGGAGAAGCCGAAAGGATTCCTCAGAGGGAAGCAGAGATATCGGAACGGGCCGCCCAAGTGTTCACTTGTCCTGAGCCAACGGCGCCGGGTGGTGGAACCGCCCGAGCCTTCACACTGCCGGCAAGCTGGAACTCATGGAACTAGAGAATATTGTCGCCAATACGGTGTACCTCAAGGCTCGAGAAGGTAGGTTGTTTGTACAAGCATATGTATGTGCTATGTAATCAGTACAACCTCGTTATCACCACTTGTTCACGTTCAGAACAAAATAAGCACGATCAATGAAGGTTGTTGATTTGGGCTCAGCACCCACTCTGGACACAACCTTAAGAGACGACTTTGGATTTTTTCACAAATCCAATGACCTCAAATATGGCACTTCTGAAAGTCAGGCCCAAGAATGTTAACGGCCTTTCGCCCAAATATGTTCGTACCAGATAGCAATAACAGCGTATAAAAATCGGGCGAGAATTTATTAGGACGAAAAATGTATTTACCTGGATCAATTACAGGCTACATAGATTGGTCAAACATTATATCATACGATAGTAAGTACTCGTTCAATATCAATCTGGCCCGTTTATCCTCGCGTAGTTACGAACGAGCTCGTAGTCTCCCATTTTGAATATTACTAGTGGGAACTCCGTTTGGGCCCATAGGTGAAAATGACAGATTTCGCTGAATGAATGCTAAAGTATTTTCAACTCATGTCCGTCTCAACATCCACCCTCATTCTTATTTTCTAACGTCCGCTATCTAAATGGTACATGTAGTGTGATGTATAATATAGGGAAATAGGTGGGTGCAATGGCACTATGTTTGTTTGTCCGAGCGAAAATAGAAGATGATACGCGTGGTTCATTCTTGTTCGAGCAGAAAATGCCTTCGTACACTGTGTGGGTCGTTGTTATTATTGTTGTTAATATTTTAGTCCGTATCGCTGCTTCGTCAAAGTAATTTGCATAGTCGTTGAGCTTCACTGAAAGAACCAGGGCGAAAATGGAAAGCCCACGAAGCTCTAAATCACAGAACAGCAGACGGGGTTTCGTTTTCTCCTCCTCTATCTCCTTTATACGAAATGAATGCAGGAAATGTTATGAGAGACTGCGTCAAGTAATATTTAAAGCGTACATGGGGACAGCAGCTCCCCACATCGTCTGTTGAGAGCGGCATAATACTAATGGTGAGTAATTTGGGAACGCATTATGGAGTTGAGGCAGGCACTTCAGATACTCAAGATTTCACTAAAGTGTGTCCAGTGTTTAAGTGGACAAAATGCGAGAACTACCAAATACTTAACATGAACAAGGATAAGCTTATTTTACCTAATTTCGGACTTCGATAATGTCCTAAGTAACGAGCCGATGACCATCTCGGATGTTTCTAGATATGTCGGGTTTATACATACTTCAAAACGATTTGAACCGGCATATTATATTATAAGTATTTGATGCGGTATTTTATTTTGCTTTCTAATGCATTTTTGCTGCATTATCGTGAGATACCAGCATTCTAGGTATATCGTTATAAAAGCGTAGTAGTTCATAAAGTTGCAAGATTAAACAATTATGCAATAGAAGTTAAGAACAACGGCGCATATACTATATATGTTAGGTCGATTGTAAGGGAGAAGGTACAGCTCCTGCTGTCAACGCAGCAGTGCTGAACTTTCGAGATTGAAATCGTGTCGAATTGTGCCGATATCTTCGCAAGTTACGGCACGGTGTGGTACGTTGATACGTTGTGAAAATACTTAAAACGTTTAATCTAAATTTGAGCAATACTATCACATAATAAGCTTAAGTCCAAGTGTTCTCTCGGGTTTGCTTGACCCCACCATAAGAAGTTTTACGTTAAAATTGTATATCTACATGAGAAATCTATCTATAAACTAGACGATAACATTATTGTTGAAAATTACTATTAGGATAGTCATGACTGGGCCATGACCCACATGTTCTCATGTGCGATGGTGTACAGATTCTGCTGTGTCCGACGTGTTATAGCAAGTGGACTACGATCGGTGCATTTATTTTGGAGCTAAGTGCCACTTAACTGTTTGGGCATACACACTGTGCTGTGTACACAAGGTTTTCGTCAGCCGTTTGATACCGTATGGCTGGTACCACACGCCTTGCTTCTCATATCAGTATTCATCCGTAATGCCTTCGGTATACGAAAACGCTATGTATCATTAGCAGCTTCATATAATAGCTTCAACATATATTCTCTTTACTCGTTTCATGTCCCTGATATTGCAATGTCAAGTTCAACATATTATAAATGAATTGATCTAAGGCGCTAATTAGCTCAAATGATTTGTGCTCTATTATGAAATTGCTATCACTGTTTTACTTTTAAAGAGAAAAAAAAAAATGCTAGTACTTATAAAATCTGATAGGTTTGACAATATACGCAGTTACAAATCAGATCTACAAGAGGGAAAAGGAATTGTAACTCAACTCGGTATTTTGTTGGCCGATCTGTCGCAGTTTAGCAACTTTTGGCACACTCCCTCAAATAAGATGCATATCAAAGCTTCTCATGGAACTTCCAATTTAGGTTCGGCAAGCCTTATTTTTATTGTGCGCGTAAAGTTTAGACACAGAATGAGGTATATGTTAAATGTGACAACTTGTGTGATTTTTGACGCCCATCCTGGCAGAGTTTTCACATAAATGAAGAGCTTAGCTTTACGGACGGACATAGCTAAAATCTCTAATTATAGAGGACAGCTGTGTTAGTCTTTGTGAGCTTCTAGAAATTAAGTACTTCGGGTGTCAAGTTGTTTGACTTCATGTAAGTTTTATTTTTCCTTGCCACTGATGTTTTACCCATTTTTCACAACTTCGCTCATGATAATCTCTGTCAGATTACCTAAATAAGAAAAGCCATCTTACCAAAATATTCGAGTCTCATGATTTTTATCTTTATTTGTAGGTATACCCGAGAACACGAGCAGCTTGATTTTTACTTTCAGTACTAATGAATTATTTCTCATGACACACTTAGACGTGTGTCGATAGTAATCGGTGACGAATTCCAATCATTTAAACATTTTTGACTGGCAGAAAATGTTTCCTAAATTTTAAGCCGCAAAAAATGGTATAACGCCATAAGTAATTTGCTCTTAGCGGGTTCATGTCCTATCCATCTGCCACAAAACCCGTCGACTGTGCTGAAGCTGCACCATCTCTGGTGGTCAGTATGCGACTGTAGTACATATTTATGGCATAGAAAAAAATGAAAAGATTATATCTAAAAGTCGTTTATGACGTCGCTGCGTTAACGTGAGCTCTTTATGAGTCTGTTATGTCTAAATATCGGGACTATCACCTATCTTTATCACTGGTAAGGAAGAGCAGGAGCGTTCGACTCCATGGAAAGGTTTTTTCCGGTTTTTTTTTAACACAAGCCTGAGTTCTCCAAAGCGTTCGTTTTTTTTTTTCTTCTTTTTTTTTTTATCTAGACTTAGCCGACCTATACAGAAATTTATCGTGTAGTACATATTATGCAACAAAATAAATATTTCAATAGTCTATCTATGTTCATATTATTGATTGATTTTCGGCATTTTCTGTGTGCATACTTGGCTTGTGGAGAAAGCTGTTCTATACGGTAGGTAATAGGCCGCACGGAATAAGGCTGATGCCAGAGAAAAAAAGAACTACTGTGAACAAGACCGAGCGGCTCCAACTATTCAGCTGATCAATTTTGTGCCATTTAATCATCAGGTGACACATTTAAGTCACTTTAGATTATGGGAAACCGAATGGCGCAATAAGCAACTTCGTTTAGATCGATCTAGGTCAGTTATGTTAATTAACTTCCATCAAGTCCTCTCATATATTCACACTATATTAACGCCATCTTTGATGTAAAATTTAGAAAATGTCGAACTAGAGTAATTAGTTAGATGTAAAGTTTTATAATACGACAATGCTATTCGGGGGGGGGGGGGCTACGACGGGGGCCAGCTAGTTTTTCTAGATTGTTGGTAAAGTAATATTTGCGGTAAAGGCAAATAACGTTCTTAATTCTACAGGTTGCATCAGTAATTTGTTACTTAAAATTAACCTGATGATTTTTAGATGATTTTTGTGTACCTTGGCAGGACACAATTTCTTCAACACAATTTTCCCATATAAACAAGGCGTTATAACAAGCATCATGTTGCGACCCTTATACATTTTGCTTTACTGTACCGGCTTAAGCATAGCTATTAAATGAGCGCTCGCTTTATACCCAGTTAATCGAGTAGTCGACAATAATAACTTTTGACTGTGTTTGCTATCTGATTGCTTTTCAGACTGTAACAAAGGCAAAAGTAAAAAATGGAAGAAGATTCTTGCCTTTCCGCACATTTCCCTTTGTCTCCCGCTCAAGGATAAAATAGGTGAGTGGGAAAAATTCTGACTGTGGTTGGTACCTTTAGCAACGCGACATTAGATTGATTCACCTTAAGGGTCCAAATCGGCCTTCCAACGCCTCCATTCATGTCTCAGGAACGGAGTTCCGATCACTCATGTATGGATAGCAGATGCACGTGGATTGAGTCGGCCTAATTCCGGCGAACATTGCTCTTTCTTCGTCACCTAACGTATTCTATTCACGGGGAAGAAAATTAACTTTTTTCCACCCACAAGTTTTTGAGTTATTGGATCTATCTCTGCTCTACCTAATCCTGTGGCAGAAAAAGTTAAGAGGATAACACAGATTTACATCGTTGTTCTAATAGAAAATATGAAATCTGAAAGGTCAATGTTAGTTAAATTATTAAACTATTGTGATGCTGACCTTATCTGATGTAGGTTTGCTTAACATAAAGGGAAACACCATTAATAACTGAAACCAGTTTTTTGCTAAAAGCTTCGCATAAATATATAACAAATAATAAATACGCATTAGTTATGAAACTAGAAAAACGTGAAGAATGTCACGTAGAAGTTATGTAGTGATATACGTTTGTTTAAAAAGACATTAAAACAACTTGTTTTTTTTTGGCGAATTAAATTTCCCGTCGGTATTTTTTGTATTAAAGAAAAGTATTTCACCATGAAAACAGACAAAAACCGCTGTGATATCCATTTCGCCGATGCGACAGTGAGACCAAAACGTTGTTTGGGAAAGCTTCTTGGGCAAATTTCTATTAGTCAAATGTTTATTACATCTATATAGTATAATATGCACAACTACTTATTATTTTAAGAAAAAAAAAAAGAAAACCTTAATAATTTCACGAAGTCAATATATTATACATAAGTATTCCCGAACAAAATCGGGACAAAAGGTTTAAATCAACTTTTGAGCTTTGTTTAGGACGTCTCAGAAACGAAACAGATATACCAACCAGGACATCTCGTAGTGATCCTTATAGTTACGAACATTTTTTTCAACTTCAAAGAATAAAGTCAATCTTTTTTTATCTTAATATAGTATATATAAATATTTCTTTTAGAAAGGAAATAAAGAAGATGAAAAGATCGGAAATAAATATAACATTTGTTTTCACTTGATATGTTATCAATATGTAATAGTGATAAATATAAATAAAAAATATAATAAAAACCTTTGGGCCTCGGTAACGTTCCGGAGACGGGCGCATTACATCAACCGAGATATACAAAATATATATTCATGTATTTTTAGAGTATCTATGTATTGTGCTAAACATGTAGTTAATTGTTACAAAAAAGGTAAGATAAAGTCTCAAGAACAAAATCATTAAGTTAGCTGACTTTAACAAGCACAGCGTCTATTGAAAGTGGGGCGAAGGCCGATTCGATGCCCGTACGACCCTGAAAGCTCAACCGAAGGCTAGCATGTTGACTCTGTGCCGGTGACGTTATTGATTTTACCGGGCTAGCTAATTCTATTCACGTGCGTCCCGACAATAGAGTCAATGCTCTTCTTGCGTCGGTCGACGGCAGTTAGCGAACTTCGAAACGGCCTGGCAATCAAGTTGCAGAGATATGTTAAACTCAGCATATGACAAACAAGGCAAATGTGGTAGAATGGCTTTATTACCCTATTTCACAAATTTCAGTCCAAAAACCTTAATCAGCATATGCTATGTAAAAGAATTACACCTCGTATTATTACCCAGTTAACTTAGTGACGACTGCCCGCGTCATTTATAATGCATTCGTTAGTTTATGTGAATAGAAAGTTAGGAAAAATTAGGATTCAATTAATATTAAAGCAAAAACTCGTCCTAAAGTGTACACTCAATCGCATTACGCCATTCAATCGTGCTTCTGTCTGCCATACGCTAAAATTTAGCGTCCTGTATATATGAGAGAACGACATAGGATGTATTTTCATCCTCAATAACTTTTCTATTTGTCGGGTAATTTTCGAAGAATGTAGGAAGTCAGCAGCCGTAGACCTCAAACTGCGCCAATAGTCAGTAATTAGGGCTTATTATTTTTTGGCTATTTGATCTACGAGTTTTGCAAGAGGGTTTGATCGTGTGAGCTAATTAGAAAAAAACCAGTGCTATCGAAGTACACATTTGGTGCCTTTCTTTCGAATACATTTAAAAAATAACGTAAGTCTTTCCTTATCATAAAAGCCGGTATGGTAATTAACCGCTGTGAAAACAAAATCCGCTTTGATGGTTACACTGTGTTCTATAGTGAACGCCGACTCTTCACTAGAGTCATTAAAATAGCTTAGAGAATTCGTCTTTATCTGGAGCAGCTTTTTTTTTCAACAGAGGAAATAAATTTAAGGTATAGCTCTCTCTCTCTCTCTCTCTCTCTATGCCCGTAGCGGAGTAAAAGTTCACACTATTAAATACGACCTATTATTAATACGCGTATTTAGAAATATATATATAGAGGCCTGCAAAAGACGCTCATTTCAATGACGATTTGAGGATTGTTATAGTGTAATGCGATCTGGAATGAGGATTGGGTGAAATTTACATTATATAATTGCAATTGCTTTGATAAATTCACGAATATTCATATGTCCCTCTGTAATGCTTGGAATGGTGAGTGATTATTTATGTTACCGCAGGTGAACACCGCTGAAGAATTTAATTTTCTACATGATTTTCGTTTCCATTTGAATTCCCCAATTTGGCTTTCCAGAATCCCAGACTGTTTCTAGACGGCGGTCAGTAGGCTAATACTTTTTTTTTTTCTAAATCATTATTCTTTTTATGAAACTCGACTAAAATTAATGAGTCAATAGATAAAGGCCAGCTTTGTTTAACAGTAGGTTTTTCTTTCTGTCAGCGGGCTTTGTATGTTTACTTCGTGCTTTATTGTGGACAGGTTCTCCTATCGGCTGTTTCTTTCCTTCGATGTCACTTGGCGAACGCGATTATGATGCAGTGCTAAATTAAATTAAATGCAAATAAAACAAAATAGAAATTGTACAGGCTTCTAGCTTTTCACTTGTGTTTTGTTGAGTCAGAAAAAATACTCGCGTATGCCTTTCGTAATCCCGTTAAGTGACGGTTGGAAATTGGAAAATGCTAGGCCTTACACAATTAGTCAAACCTTCTACCAGTTGTACACAGATTCGGCATATCCGCTAGTGTACGCTACCAAATATTAGTTTTTCTTTAAAATCCCATTTTTTTAAATTGTAGGTTTAATCCACATACAACTCACGCATTTAATTTCTCTTTCTGTAATCTCCTGCTTAACGCTCTCATTAGATAACTTGTTTCCTGGAGCTGTTTTTGCCCTTTCCAACTTATCCTGTGGTTAGCCAGAAATTTCTGAGTCCTAGAGTGACTAGAATACATTTGTAACGCAGCAAAAATAGGACTCGTGCATACCTGTATTTGCATACCTGCAGGACTATAACCTATAATTGTCAAAGAAGCACCGTGAAGCAAAAAGTTTGCACAAGTCTTGCGCACTTGAAAAAACTGCGGAGCCAAGGTACGCAAGCTCGATAGCTTGTTGGTTCTGTTTCCGGTTGATTAAGACGTATCAAACGTAGATGAGGAAATCATTGACCTATTCTTTCAATCAGCTTGACTGCCTTTCTTACATATGAACAAAGAAGTGCAGGATTGAATATCCTTCATTTTACTTACATGACTGTGTCTTACTTAAACTTAAAGTTAAGTATTTAAGCATTAACAGCTGCATTTAGAATCAGTTAATCTGCTAGCGTATAAGTGGGTGACTTCCCACTTAGCTCTGGGCTATTGAAGAAAAGTACCAGTGGTAATGTGTACTTTCTGCATGCTCAATCACCCCTATATCCCAGCTGTGCTAGGTGCTTAATATTTTAATAATAATTTATCTCTATCGTAAAAATAGCGATGTAGGCGTGTTGATGCGCCATGCTCTCTCTGGCGCAGAAATAGTGCGTATAGACACGATCGAGCTGTGTGGTAACTTTTCGAGAAGGGAACGAAAACTCATGGGATAGAAGCGAATGTTGGTCAGACTAACGGCTATCATTTCCACCCGACCTTTTACTGTAACGGTGCTCCGTTAACTCTGGTTGAATTTTACCACCACCGCCGCCGCCGCCGCCGCCGCCGCCCTCAACATGGCGGTCAGCGCACCACGAGACCTCTCTTTCTCGTCTTAATAGTTTGGCCGTATCAGACGCTGTTAGGCACACATTCGCCTGTTATATTTATGTGGTTTGCAGATAGATATAGAGGCGTAGGTGTTTTCAAAAACGGAGACTGGGCGGTAAACTAATGTTGGGGAGAGACGTGTAAAGTACAATGCTAACATTTTGTCAGTTTCTTATGTCTCTATTTACGTGTCCTAAGCATTTTGTTTCCGACTTCTGTGCTGAAAAATACCCGTGCTATGGGTTGAAACATGCTACTGAACTGTGGCCAGTGGTAAGAAGTTGAATATACCAAGGTTTGTTGCCGTTACTGTGGCTAGATGCTACAATGAGTACAATTTGTGGTAACTCTGAGAGCGATCGCTTACCTGGCTGGCTTTCGGACTTTATTGGTCTACAGAAAATCCATTGCAGTGAGATGTTTGGCACCTTTTCTTTAAGTTGCAGCTCAATCAAAAGAACATATACTACTTTTTTCGACCTATCACATTTACAGGCTTGAGGCTGTTTTCTGGTTTTTCAATTCCATTTCATTACATGCTCATAACGTAGTAGGAACCAACTAAAATGTTATAGTCCGGGAAGGAGAAAGCTCAGGTGGAATTATTGTTATTATTATATATACTAGCAAATGTAGCACATTCTAACACTGATTTCATTACAACGAAAAACCTTTCGAAAATTGCCTTTCTTTTTTTTTATAACCGTCAAACAAAAGGCGGTTCCAGACACATTATAGATATATATAAAACATTAATACACGTTCCTATTTCTCGGCAGGTTTAACTTCACCTTTAAACCTTGAGATTTACCTTTGTGTCATTATGTTTTCGCGCGTCA